GCTGAAAGACTGCCAGGCCCCTGACCTCAGCCCTGCGCTTTCCTCCTCTAACTTCACCGAGGGTAGATTCCCTCAGGCCCCCTTTTCTCAGCGCCCTGTCGAAAAATCCATTTGCACAACGTGGATTCGCTATCTTTATCGTCCCCCCACCTAATTTCCCAGAGGCCGGTTGAGAGCCACGATGGGTCTGGAGTGACGTGCAGGCAGACTCTCTTCCCTAAAGGATGTTAACCAAACCAATGGCTCGTCAGCAACAACAGGACAGTTGTCGTTGTCGTCATCGTCGTTGTCGTCATCGTCAGACTGACTTTCTTTCAATCCCCGCTTCTGTCGGATTCCGATTTCGATACCTGCTCTAGTAGGGATCGAACCCACATCTCCAGATTGTTAAGCTGGGGTTGAAGATTGCCAGTTCGGTGACATTACCACTGTCTCCCCTCTCGTGCACCGTTTCGACATTGAGATGGAGAGAGGATCAATATACAGTTCATGGAAGGGTCCTGGGGAGTGTTGCATGTACATAGCTCTTTGAAAGTGGAGTCTCAGGCGGACAGGGTGGTGAAGGAGGTGTTTGGTACGTTTATATAACAGTGTGGAGCTGGAGGAACACGGCAGACCAGGCGGCACCAGAAGAGCAGGAAAGCTGATAAATTTCTGAAGAAAGGTCCCTACCCGAAACGCCAGCTTTCCTGCCCTCTGATGCTGCCTGGCCTGCTGTGTTCATCCAGTTCCACACTGTGTTATCTCTGACTCCAGCATCGGCATTTCCTACCATCTGAGTTTGGTACGCTTGCCTTTATTGGTCAGTGCATTGAGTACAGGAGTTGGAAGGGTCATGTTGTAGCTGTACAGGACATTGGTTAGGGCCACTTTTGGAATACTGCATTCAATTCTGGCCTCCCTGCTATTGGAAGGATGTTGTGAAACTTGAAAGGGCTCAGAAATGATTTACAAGGATGTTGCCAGGGTTGGAGGGTTTGAGCTACAGGGAGAGGCTGAACAGGCTGGGGCTATTTTCCTTAGAGCGTCGGAGGCTGAAGGGGTGACCTTGTAGCGGTTTATAGCATCGTGAGGGGCATGGACAGGGTGAATAGCCAAAGCCTTTTTCCCCAGGGTAGGGGAGTCCAAAACTAGAGGGCATAGGTTTACGGTGAGAGGGGAAAGATTTAAGAGACCTGAGGGGTAACTTTTTCACGCAGAGGGTGGTGCGTGTATGGAACGAGCTGCCAGGGGAAGTGGTGGAGGCTGGTACAATGACAACATTTAAAAGGCATCTGGGTGAGTATATGATTAGAAAGGGTTTAGAGGGATATGGGCCAAATGCTGGCAAATGGGACTAGATTAATTTGGGATATCTGGTCGGCATGGAGAAATGGGACCGAAGGGTCTGTTTCTGTGTTGTAGAGCTCTGTGACATTTCATTGAGTGATTTGGGGTGGAGGCCTTTGGTGGTCACCCTGTAACATCCCTGCCTGGCCAATCTGAATTCTTTTAATTGAAAATAAAAAAGGCAGACGACAGTCTCTGAATATGTCCGATTTGCATGACTGTGGCAACGCGAGCTGGAGTAGCTATGTTTTTGGAGCCGTTGTGAGTCACTGTGAAGTCACACGAGTGCCCCTTTCTCGTTGCCACTCTCTGCCTGTAACTGCCATGTTCTTCCACAAAGGGGAGAGGTGGGTGTGTCTGCCTGTATCTGTGTGAACTACACCTGACTCCATTCCTCTGCTTGTGTCCTGCAGTGTCCAGGAGTTTATGACCTTCACAAGCCAGCTGATTGTGGACCGTTCACAGATAGGGAGCCGAGCAGCAGTGAAAGAGCAAGGTAAGCTGCCAAGTTAGGGACAGACCACTTCGCTCCACGTTCCAACAAGTCCTGAGGGAAACAGATGCCCTTCTGAAGCTTTCCATTGGGCCAGAGCTGTGTAATCCTGCAGTTGTAGACTGAGCGCTGACGTTGCTCCATCAGCAGCGCTCGCCAAATTCAGAATTGTCGTAAAATTGAAGCCAGGTGCGTTTTTGCAGTCGGGCAGTATTTGCCAAACAACCCCAAGTGTGCTAAGAATGACAGGAAGCCAGTCTGTGGGCGGGCATGGTGGCTCAGTGGTTAGCACTGCTGCCTCACAGCGCCAGGGATCCTGGTTCGATTCCACCCTCGGGTGACTGTATGTGTGGAGTTTGCACATTCTGCCCGTGTCTGTGTGGGTTTCCTCCGGGTGCTCCGGTTTCCTCCCACAGTCCAAAGGTGTGCGGGTTAGGGTGGATTGTCTGTGCTGTAGTGCCCAGGGACATGCAGGCTGGGTAGGTTAGTCATGGGAAATGCATGGGTTAAGATAGTGGGGTGGGTCTGGGTGGGATGCTGTTCGGAGGGTCAGTGTGGACTCAATGGGCAGGATGGCCTGCTTCCATGCTGTAGGGCTTTTATGAAGATTGTAATGGAATATTAGCAATTCAGGCCAGCAGTGTGATTTGTGGCTGTGCTGTCGTTAACAGGCGTATTTTATTCTGGAACAGAAACAGCTGGAAAAGCCCAGCAGGTGGGGCAGCACCTGTGGAGAGAAATCAGAGTTAACGTTTCGGGTCGAGTGACCTTCCTCAGAAGTCCTCTTAGAGTATCTGCAGTTCTTTCAATGTTTTGTCCTGCTTTCTTTTAAGAGACAGCTTGAATGAGAGGCACCAAGCTGCCTGTGATTACTATAAAAGGTTGTGAGGCCTTTGAAGTTGGAACAATAGAAGCAGCCTGGCTGGGTGTGGCCAGCTCTCTCAGACCAGGATTTCGTTTTCTTTTCAGCTTTTGATTTGGCAGAAGCTGCTGGAGTGTAGAAGGAGAAGAGGCTATTTTTATCCCCCCACGCCTTGTTTACAGCTGGGGTTTCTCTTCCTACTGTTGGTGTTGTATGTGAGCAAATCTGTGTTCTGAATTTGCCTTTCTGCTAAGAGGTGCGTTTATGACATTACTATATTCGAACAATTAATTAGTCATAGTTAACTGTATCTATTCTGATAAATTATTCCAAGTTCTTTCTCCTTTTGTCATATTCTAACTTATTCATGTTGGAATACGTTGTGTTTTGTTTAACGTCGAGGAGTGAAATTGCATCTGGCACACGGCACATCACACTTACCTTTCAAAAGAAGGCAAAGTTAAGGTCGAGGTCTGGTCCGTAACAGACTCATTCCACTCACCGGAAGCAACCCACTCTCGAGGCAATCGGAGCGTGTTCAGGCGCAGTGATGTTTGTGAACGAAATAGAAGGACGTTTGATTCGCTGCTGCGTTCTCCATGGTAACACCGTTGGGCACCCAACCAGCACCCTTTTCTCACGCCCCCTTTTGAAATTTGGCATTCTTGCACATGTCCTGATCTAGCGGGCGCTAGGGAGTTTCCGCTTTTGCTTCTGTCCTCGGAAGTTGAACCCTGCGATTGGCTGATTCCAAACGGTTCTCATGCGTGCTAGCCTGGCCATTCGCGCAGCATTCTCTGTCGTAGCTTCTTACCTGTCGCTCTCTCTGTCTCTCTGTCTCTCTGTCTCTCTGTCTCTCTGTCTCTCT